AACAACAATATGTGAACCAATATTCAAGAAACTCAAAAAGAATGTGCCGGTAATATGGGATAATGATTGTCAAAAATCCTTTGAAAAGATCAAAGCCTATCTCGCAAATCCTCCCATATTAGCACCAGCGTTTCTAGGGATTCCTCTAAGGTTGTACTTGACAGTCACCAAAGAGACAATGGGAGCTATGCTCACACAAGAAGTAGAAGGAAAAGAAAACGTCATCTACTACCTAAGCAAGAAAATGCTCGAGTATGAAGTACGCTACACACCACTTGAAAAATTGTGCCTCGCATTAGTGTGGGCCACAACCAAGTTGAGACATTATATGCTCGTGCATACAGTCTTCGTAGTATCTCGAATGGATCCACTCAAGTACTTATTTGAAAAATCTACACTTAATGGGCGCATATCAAGATGGATAGTCAACCTAGCCCAATTCGATGTAAGGTTCATGCCTCAAAAGGCTATTAAAGGATCCGTGGTCTCAGACTTCTTAGCGGATTTTCCAATAGAATATTTGACGCCAATACATGACAACGAATTTCCAGTTGAAGATTTGATGGTCACAGAAGATGATACTTGGACCTTATACTTCGACGGAGCCTCAAACCAAAAGGGATGTGGCGTTGGAGTATTATTAGTATCACCTAAATAAGAACATGTTCCAATCTCCATAAAGTTAGATTTTGAATTTACCAACAACGCTGCAGAATACAAAGCATGCGTGGTAGGCCTCGAAACAGCTTTGGCAATGGGAGTAAAGAAACTTCGAATATTCGGAGATTTTTCTTTGATCATTAGCCAAATCTCCAAAAGACGGAAAGTAAGGAGTGAAAGTTTAACCCCTTACCAAACTTATATGGAAACTCTCACCAACCAATTGGAAAAGGTAGAATACACATATCTACCTAGAGAGGAAAACCAATTTGCTGATTGTAGACACCTAAAAATGTCTCCCCAAAACCAAACGCGATGATGAACAACCTTTCTCCGCCATTATTGGTCGGGTTGAGTATTTAATCTTGGAGTGCTTAAATCCATATTTCTATTTCTTAAACCAACCCAAAATAATTCATTTCGTGCTTATTTTCCTCTTTTGTGCCTTTAAACCCAAAATAATTCATTTCATTTCCTTTAATTAAAATCATTCATTTTTTGTCCTTTTTTCGTGTCCTTTAATTAAAATCATTCATTTTGTGTCCATGACTCACTTCGTACCATCATCCCCGATCCTCGTTTTGTGGTTCTGAACCATATGGAGTTAGTAATCTCATGGTGAATGGGGTGTAACCTTTACGGGTCAATCGTTGTTGCCTTTGTTGTCCCTTATTCGTCGTGGTTGCCTTAATGATCCGTGAACGGTTTACAAGTTCCTTAAAAACTTGTTGGCGGCTCCCTACTTTATTTGTCCCTAATCGTATTATGTCTATTCCCACTTCCTATGAGTGCCAAGCATGTTCACAACATGCTTTAACGTAAGCGCACTTTGAACGACGTCTACATTGATGCCTTGGCAAGACTAGCCTCAATGGTTAGGATTCCCATGGAAATCGAGCAAATTCCTTTAACCATAGAGAAAAGGCATAAACCGGCCTACATTCAAGCCATAAAAGACGATGAAGCGGTCCAAGATGAATAAGAAGAAGAAGAACCATGGTATACAGACATACTCAACTATGTCACCAAAGGAGAATATCCTCCTCATGTTGACAAAAGAGCAAAACGAGAATTAAGACTCTTGGCTTCCCAATATGTACTCATAGACAACGAGTTACACTAAAGGGTACCTAAGGGTCGAGCTCTCTTATGTATAGGCAAAAAGGAAGCCCAAAGAGCTATGAAGATAGTCCACGAAGGTGTCTGTGGAACTCATGTTAATGGCAAAATGCTAGTCCAAAAGATAATGCGAGAAGGGTATTATTGGACTACCATGAAAAGGGAATGTCATCAATACGTAAAAAGATGCCCTAAATGCCAAATATACGCTAACTTGCAACATGTTCCTCCATCTCTACACTACACCTACACATCACCATGGCCATTTTCAACATGGGGAAATGATATCATAAGAAAAATCACACCTCTTGGGACAGGAGGTCACAAATACATTCTAGTAGAAATCGATTACTTCACGAAGTGGGTTGAAGCATAGTCATATGCTAAAATCACTGCAAAACATGTAGCACTCTTTATCGAAAGGAAACATTATTTGTCGATATGGAGTCTCACATGAGATGATAAGTGACAATGGAACTCACTTTCAAGCAGAATGTGAAGAATTGCTACAAAAGTATGGTATTCAACACCATCATTCTTCTCCTTATAGACCTCAAGAAAATGGGGCAGTTGAGGCGGCTAACAAGAATTTAAAGACTATTATCGAAAAAATGACAGAAAATTACAAGGATTGGCCTGACAAACTCCATTTTGCACTTTGGGGTTATTGCACGTCAATTCATACATCAACAGGAAATACGCCATTCTCCTTAGTCTATGGAATGGATGTCGTACAACCTGTGGAGCTAGAGATACCTTCTCTACGCATTGCGTTGGAAAGTAAACTCAATGAAGTCGAATGGATTAGGGCAAGATATGAAGAGCTAATTCTACTCGATGAAAAGCGACTAGAAGCTCTACATCATACTCAATGCTATCAAACCCATATGGCTAGACACTTTAATAATAAGGTCAAGACAAGAAACATTAAAGTAGGAGACTGGGTGTTAAAAGCGCTAAGGAAAAATGCTTTGGACCCAAGAGGCAAATTTAGGCCTAATTGGTCCGGACCATATATCGTTAAAACCATCCTGTCAGGATGAGCAACAAAACTAACTGATATGGATGGCAATAAGTTCTCAAACATGACAAACCTTGACCAACTTAAGAAGTACTACCCATAATTACTTGAGTAGGACACTCAATGGAGCTACGTTTGGCCCGATTCCTTAGGAAAGGATACGTAGGCAACCCTTTATATGGTGCGGCCACATTAATTTTCACAAATCACTAGTGGAAAAAAGGTCATCTGTAACAGGCAAAAAGGGCCCATCCGTAACGGGCAGCGTCCGTTACGTATGCGGCCGTTACGAATGGCCATTGTTATTCGTAACGGGCACCGTCCGTCGTTACGAATAAGTACTTATTCTTAACGGGCACCTGAAACGCCCGTTACGAATAAAAACTTATTCGTAACGGATTATTCATAACGGGCGTTTCAGGTGCCCGTTACATATAAGTTGTTATTTTAGTACAATAAGTCATTATTCGTAACGGACACATAAAACGCCCGTTACGAATAACCCATTATTGTAACGGGCAACTTTAACGGGAGTTTTAAGTGCTTGTTATGAATAATGACTTTTTTTTATAAATAAGTACTGATTTGTAACGGGCAACAAAAATGCCCGTTATGAATAAGTACTTATTTGTGACCAACTTTTCCCCGCCCGATACAAAGTCATTAAATTAATTTTTTTTGATTGAATTTCGGCAGCATTTATTTATATATAATTAATATATATTAATTAAAACCTATTAAAATAAACTTGTTCCGGTAAATAAACAATTATACCGAACAAAACATTCGTAGAAATTAATAAGACATAATATAAATATACAAGTAAAACATTACAAATTAAATAAAAACTTGTATAAGTTTATCCAACACATACAACAACACTAATAATATTACTTTGTTCTACCTATTCTACCTAAGCTAATAGTTATGCATTCAATAAATATTTAGTTCTAAAGTATTGCGCCCACTGTTCTCGAACCACATTCAACTCGTCAACATCATAAGGGGATTTCCTTGGACAAAAATCCTTCAAAAAAAAACATATGAAGGAGGTTACAAAATAAAAACAATCATTAGAATAAATGTGATGGTCCAAATTATAGAAATAAAACTCAAAATATAGAAATAAAACACATAAAATCCATAATTAAATTATATTTTGGTTTATATGAATAGAAATCATTGAAATATGACCATTTACTCACTTTTGGGAGCATATAGAGCAAAAAAGGCATTAAAATTGCCTAAACTTCTATCTTTCCCATCTTTCATGTATTGGTCCAAATTATAGAAATAAAACACATAACATCCTTATTTAACTTATATTTTGGTTTCTATGAATTGAAATCAATGAAGTATGACCATTTATTCATTTTTGGGAGCGTATAGAGCCAAAAAGGCTTCAAAATTGCCCAAGGGACTTCTATCTTTCCCATCTTTCATGTAATAGTCCAAATTATAGAAATAAAACACATAACATCCATACTTAACTTATATTTTGGTTTCTATGAATTGAAATCAATGAAATATGACCATTTACTCACCTTTAAGAGCATTTAGAGCCAAAAAGGCTTCAAAATTGCCTAAGAGACTTTTATCTTTCCCCTATAGTTACTAATATATATGATGGGCGCCATATTCTTAGTCCTAGAAAACGCATATATCCATATAATAAAGAAAACTTCAAACATAAATAAGTCAATACAAGCCTACATAATATTGATCCCAAAAGCTCGATTAAAGGAACCTATAAAATCAGATATTGGCGGCCTAGAGTAACAAGTTCTCAGTAAATCACCTTCAAAAATAGAAACAGAGGACACTTGGGCGTGCAAGTAGAGAATCATGATTCAGGCACATCAAATTAAGCTATAATTCCATAACATAGTTGAACTTATGGTCAAATTAACCAGACCCAATTCATTAAAAACCTAATTATCCAACTCCCTTTTCTCCTAAATTACGAGAAAGGGTATAGTTTAAAGTATATTCTGGTAATCAAAAACACATCTTGGCAACAAAAAATAGGACTTGAAAAATTGAAATTGAAATTAAAATTTATGTATTTCTTGCAAGTTGAGTAAACTAAAATTAACGGTGATATTAGATTGATCTGGGTTTCAAAAAAAAAAAAAAAGATTGATCTAGAAATAATTTCGTATAAACTACTAGATATTAAGCAAAAATATAAATGAAAGACTTAAAAAAGAGAAAAAGAAATTAGCAGAAGCATAAGTAAAGTATAATAAAAATGCAGAAAATACAGATTTTTTTAAAAAAAAATGGAAAGAAAAATGACTAGCTTTGGCGTTAGTATAAACAGTGTGATAGGATTGCCATGGTTTTGAAAGTGGAACATCGCTGGAAGAAGACTCACTCTTCTCCATCTTTTCCATTCTTCACTAATGGCTCTGAACAAATTTTTGCAGCTAAAAATCATATGGGGGCAGAAGTTAAGAAATCAAAGTAATGAAACTGTTCCATTGGAGCCCTTGAGTAGACATCAGATTTAGGTGAGATGATTTCATTTGTCTTCTCCTATTTCAAATCCTTGTTAGCTTTCTCGGATCTAACAAACTCCCTTGAACTATGTTGCGCGATCATCTGTTTGTCAAATTAGATGCCAGGAGTGATTAGCATTATAAGAATTGATGCAAAATAATGTATTGGTCAAGCTAGCACTGTTTCAAATGACATTTTTCTCGATTTGGACGGGATATTTATGAAATTAGGGAACACTTACAGAGTCTGTATTGAGCACAACAGTCTTGCAATTAGGCAAGATGCTGACGGACTTTGGTGGAAGGGTGTGCTCTTTGCCTCTGAATTTAACAGTTTAATGTATGAGTGCGGTTATTCCACAGGAAAGCAGCACAAAGGTTGTTCTTCTCGTAGTAACGTGCCTGATCATTGCATAAATTTATAGGTAGTTAGCTAACATGTCACACGTAACAAGAATTGTCACATTTATAATTGTTAAACAACATAAATTTGCATCCCACATTGGTGTTCATGTTCTTTCTTTCTCGCATCTGTTATAACAGAAACCTATCAGCATATGACTCTTATGGTCTATCTTTCATATAACTTACCTCCAAATTTGGGCTGAATATCTCAATACCATATCTCCCATTGAGAACAGACTTCTTGCTCAACATTAAAGCACGGTGTAGATCCCTCAAGTATCCCCATTTGGGCTCCCTTATTAAGCCTGAAAGTAAGTAAAGCATAGCAATCAGCAATAAGTAGTCATCCTTTATACCTCTAGGCTCAACAAGAGTAAAGGGCTCACCAAATTCATTAAGTGGAGCTTCATCATAGTAGCGAGTGGTGGTAAAGTCGGCAGCAGTCCTTCCATAGTTTGTGCCGCCATGATACTGCAGCAACAACAAATACATACAGAAAGAATTAGGGGAAGAATAGAAGTAAAGTCGTGCCTTTTCTAAAGATACAAACATTTCATTGCATGTAAAAAACTAAAATGTTAATGTTTAATACCATGTAATAGTTAGAATGGCTTCCATTTTCGGAGAACCAGCGCGCCACAGCAAAAGCAGTATCCTCAGCTGACCTATGAGAAGGTACATCTCCGAAAACTCTGAACCTGTATTTACAAAAAGAAGGGAACTTTGTTTACCATATGATTAAGTGACCAATAACCAAGCTAAGACAATTAGTACTACTAAAGAAATAGCCGTAATAACTACTTACTGAGCAGTCCAGTTCTCAGTCCACAATGATGGCTTGTGAGGTGCATTCATACAATACAAGTCATACATTCGCCGAATTTATAAAATCTCTATATCAAGATGAAATCATTGTAATAAACTAAACGATCAAAATCCCACAATACGAATTATTCAAAAGCTACAAACACTCAGATCTTGTACTAGTATTCAATATAATATAATTAATAAAATTAAACACATTTACAGGCATTTTCATAAACACCCACAATGCAAAAACATGAAAAGACAAAAAAAAAAACTAACATCTTGAGAGGAGATCTTGAGCCAAGTAGGTGGTGTGCGCTTGTAGGGAAGAGCAAAGGAAGAAATACCCTTTGAATTAAACAAAAACAACAAAAATTGACAGAAAATTAACAAAAGCAACTCCATGATATGAAAAATTAAAAGGAAATTAAGTTAACGCAACACATCTTAAACAATAATTAAAAATAAAAATTGCACCAATCTCATTGTCATTTGTTCATAAATTAATCAAACAAACATAAAGCCAAATTCATCGGAATTACCAAAGTTAGACTTTATAGCAAATAACCACTCAAAATGATCATATCAACACAAAACATCAAGCAAAAACTAGCAGAAAAAAACAGTGGAATTCGATTAATTCGACAAAGAAACTGAATTCACAAAATCCATTGAACATAGAAAAACAAAATTGACAACTGACAGTACAATCGAAATACTAATCCAGAAAATATAACGCATAAATGAAGATCTTACTTCTTCCCATGGCGGCAAAACTTGAAAATCCGAGCTCCGAAAATCGAAAACCCTAAATAAGGGGAACAAGAAGAAGAAAAGTGGGTTCATAAATAAATTGAGAGTGAAAAAACGGAGCTTGAGCTAATAACCGAGCTGCTTCAATGGAGTTGAAGGAGTGAGGACAAAATAATAGTTCACAAAATTTAAAAAAAATCGGGTGTACATTCATTATAAAGATAGCATGATATGAATAAAAGTTACCCCAATATGCGTAAAAGTAATTCAATTCAAATAAAAATTGCTTTATTAGTAAAGAATCACATTTTAATTGACTAAAAATCAATTATTAGTGATTGAATGTAATTAAATTACCTCTATAAAACTTTTCTTGTTATCAATTTATATAAAAATTGTATTATGTTTAAAGTTACCAAAAGAAAAGGCAAAAAGTTACCCTAAAATTAGCTAAAAGTTACCCTTATACTGCTCGATTTACACTAATATTAGTGTAAAACGGATGTATACAAAAGTTTTTTAATAATAGTTTGAGAGAGAGAGTGAGAAAGGGGAAATAATAGTTTGAGAGAAAGTTAGAGTTTACTTTGAAACCTATTCGTAATGGGCAAGACTTGTTGGTTACGACTTGTAACACCCCCGATTTACTAACTAATACTTCCTCCGTTTTATTAATATTGCAACAATTGACTTTTTGCACTATTCATCACTCTTGTTTGACCATATAATATGAGTTATACTTTAAGCACAATATAGTCAAGTGGGATCTTGTTGGATTCGTATCATAAAATACTTTCACAATATCAACTTTTTATAATTTTTACTCTTACACAATTATAGATATTTAGCATATAAAAGGTGTTTCGGGATGTGTAATTTCCTCCTTGTTGCAATATTAACAGAACTGAGGAATTAATAAACAAGAATTAAAGGAAAAATAAACAACCTTTAAATAAAATTGCGGAAGCATACCCCTAAATCAGAGGTATTACCGCCACACTCAACAACCGGTCAAGTGTTAAGGCTTACAAAAAATCCCAAAATTACAACCCGATAATCTAAGTGAGCTATTTATACAACTTTATAAATTGAACTTGTTATAACAAACTAATCGAAACACTTGAGCTCCTTTAGCTACGACAAGATCAACCTATTTAGACAAACTTGACTGCTCACCATTAAGGACAAATTACAAAATAGATCGTCACAAGGCCACCATAATAAAAAAAAACATGGCCGCAAACACAAATAGCACGACAAAACAATATACACGTGAGCAAAAAGCAGAGTAATCATCACATATCAGAGTATAGAGTATAATTGAATAATTGACAATACTAGCTCAATTAAACAATGTAGTTCGAAACTACATTACACATTGTATTCTGGAAATAACCTTTGTCAAACTCAACCTCAAATAATAATACAAACTTTTACTCAATTAACTCATATAACACATAAGTGTGCCATGCTCGTTGTTCTATACCTAGCCTTGGACATGGGTAATTTGAATAAAACCAACAAGCATAAAAACTTGAATACTCTCAATAACCAGAAAACACCTTGAACCAGACCACATACGGGCCAATTCCCACTGTAGAGGACCATTGAAAAACAAATAATAAAGATTGTACCTCATTCTTAACTCATGATCATTATCTCATTACCAACATGCCAAGGACTAAGGTCTATAATGCCGAGCCTCAACCAATAACAAAACAATCATTCTCAACCTTTTGATCTCATATATCGATCAAATAATCATTCAGATGATAATAAATAATATCTCAATATTGGCACATGTTCCCAAAAAAAATATATGACAAGATGAACGCAATTCAATCATAGAATATCTCAACGCTTATAGGACAATAATACTAGTACCCAAAATAATTAACTCACAACCCAAAAATAATACTCTACATTAACAACCCTAAAAACTCAACAACAATACTCCCTAGAGCAACAACATTAAAACCCTAGCATAGTTGTATAATCAATTATGTACAACAAAAATAATACAATACTCAAATCTAATCAAATCATATAATACCATAATAATTAATCATATATACAAAGAGTACAAATAATAAATCATATCACACATAACAATACGAAAATATAAACATCTCAAAAATATAGTCTGATTACATATCATAAATAAGAATTAAACATGAAGTTTGTATGATTACCTTCCGACTAGTTACAATCGGACCACGACATTCAAGACAAAGTATGTGCACGGACGTTGCAATTTGTGGGCTTTGATTTTGCAAATCCAATGGAGTTTGGAGAATTAAATATTGAATGGATATTGGAGAATGTTAATGAAAGAAAAAACTTTAATGAAAAATCAAGTTTTTGGGGTTGGATCATGGAAGTCAGATCATCACGCACAAAAAGAGATTCGTACGACAAGGTTTTTTTTTCCTTTTATTTTTTTTAAAAAAATATCTTTTGAGTTAAGAATAATTTTAGGGTTTAAAATAGTTTATATACGTTTTGAATTGTACAGTGCTATTTAAACAAGATAGGGTTTTACAACATCATGAACTCTAAATAAAAATATAAGCTTAGAAAAGTTATATAAAAATAAACTATATTTTTGTAAAATATATTATATAAAATCATAAAATATTCGAGTATTACACGACTAGTTGGTTATTCGTAACGGGCAATATTTGTTGGTTACGACTAGTTGATTATTCGTAATGAGCAAGACTTGGTGGCTACGACTAGTTGGTTATTCGAAACGGGCAAGACTTGTTTGTGACGACTAGTTGTTTATTCGTAACGGACATTGAATTTGCCCGTTACAAATGATGTAATTGTAACGGGAAATCATATGCCCGTTACGAATAGCTTGTTACAAATAAGATTTTTTCCACTAGTGAATCTCGCATCCCAACATCAACAAAGTTTCGCTCAGCATCAACGCAAAGTAAAAAGTCTGTCGCTAAACGACAGATTGCAGCGCCAGGTGACGAAGTGCAGCGACTGGGAAAGAAAGCAGTGTCTGGTGACATACTTAAAATCGCGGCGCCAATTTCCTGCAAATATCTTGGGAAATTTCGGTGTATTTCGGAAAATTTTCGACTTCCGTACTCGAGAAATTTTCTGGAAAATAATTTAAGTTATTTTCATTGCTTTAATAAATTAAATGTAAAATGTCGATTTAATTTAAAAAGCTCAAATTGCATTAATAAAATAAAGTAAAATTACATTATTGATGGAATTTAAATAAAAGCTTAATAAAATAAATTGACTTAAAAATTAAACTTGTTTAATAAATTGGAAGTTAAGCAATGCTTCAATCTTTCTTCCCTTTCTTTGCTCTTTTAAAATTCTTTTCATTTTCTTCCTCATCATCCATTACTTTAGCTAGTAGGCGTTCTTTAGAGGACCTACGTTCAATCTTGGAGTAAATAGTTTCTTCTTTAGCTAGGACACCATGTTTATTTTCCACCCAAACTTTCTTTTCTGAAGAGTTAACTTTTCTTTTTTCTTTGCCTTTAGTAGTGTCCTTCTTCTTAGGCATCATAGGTGTTTTGAACTCAACTCTTTCACCTAAGCGTTCCTTAACAAGAGTTATCTTGTCACCCAAGCATTCCTTTTTTAGCTTATTAAGAAGCCAATTCTTCACATCATTGGGCAAAGAAGGAGGAGTCTTTTGGGTAACCACTTCCCATAAAGCCCTACCACTCCAATCAGTGTCAAACCTCTCTACTTCTTGAGAAACAGGGAATTCATAGGGACGACGAAGATCTCCAGAAGGAATTGTTTGAATAAGACCGTACTGCCTTTTTACCCTACAGGGATAATAAAACGTCATCTTGGTGAAGCTTGGAAGACGCCAGAAGGGTTGTTTGTTGAAACCAACCATCTTCTCAATTTTCCACCATGGGATGACCCATTTGATAGCAAAATTACGAGAGGCGAATGAAAGGAATAGTGTCCTTCAAAAAAGTGTATTATTCTGATAGTGGGTTCAGAATTATTAGAAAGCTAATATATTCAGTAAGGTCAAGTGATCGGAAAGCCTGGGTGGAAGCCGCTTCCGATCAGTAATATTAATGCATAATCAATATTGCAGCTTAATCTTGACCGAACCCTTCAGGTCACACCCAAGCAGTCAACGACCCGAAGCGACAAACTTATTCGGAAGGAATTAATGAGTCGACCGAGTAATATTAATTTAAACGTCGAAAATTCGAGCTTAGAGCGTCGGAAGTCGAGTCGGAAATAATAAAAGACGAGACATGCAAATAGTAATAAATCAACATAATTCCCAAAATACCCCTAGCATCGGAGTGCCCCGAGCAATTCGAGTGCTAGGGGCATAATGCACAAGCATGGTGGCTAGCTTGCGCACCAAGCCGAGCTGAGGCTGGGTGGTGCGTGCTAGCGTACCCATTGCTAGCATCCACGACATCTAAGGGCAACAAGCTGCAGCAGCCCGCACTCGGAGTGCCCGGCATGCTAGCAGCGTGCAACAGTAGCTTGCACTCGGAGTGCGTGGCTTGCTAGCCGCAAACAGCCCGCATCTTCAAGTGCGAGTAGCTGGGCTATGGCGCGGGTAGCTGGGTCGTGAGCAAGGAGAAGCAAGTGGGAGCTTACGGAGGACATGTGGCACATGGAGAGGAAGAGAGTGGGGAGCAAGTTTGGTCCCCCCTCTCCATGTGGTCCTCACTTGCTCTCTTATGAATAGTTGACACTTGTTGATTTATTACTAGCTTGCTTAAATAATTTTATTTTACCTTTAAAATTAAATGTGAAAATCTCACTATCCCACATTGGTGGGAGGGACAATCATACTCTTGTCATTTCCTATAAATACCCAAGTAAGGGCATTGGAAATGATGCTTGAGTAAGAGTTGTAAAGGGCACCACTAGTAAGTGAAAACCCTTGAACTTAAGAGTTGGAAAAGGTATCACATTTAGTGAAAGCCTTTGAACTCAATTACTCGGGTTTTATTGGTCGGGTCTTGCTAACCCCAAGACATTGGACCTTGTTGGTATTCGTTGGTGCGGGTGGATCAACGTTGGAGGCTTCGTGCTTTCGAAGCTAGCTTTCAAGTAGGAGCCCATTCGGTCGGGCGAAGCACACTCCAAAAGGTAATCGTTTTATCTTAATCTTGTGATTAATTTAATTATGTTTATGGTTTAATTTATTGTGAGTGCGTTCTTG